AGCGCTAGTATCGTTTGCATGTTTTTCTCTTTTAGCGAATATCCCATATAGGGAATAAGCTATTACCGTAGTACTCATGATAAGACCTGGACCCGGGACCGATATTTTTTCGTTTTGCGGTCCCTAGAGGCCAAAAAACCCATCCGTTCAAATTCATATATATATATATATATATATATATATATATATATATATATATATATGTCCGTTAGCGCGATAACTTGAGCAAAAATAATCCGATTTTGATGAAATTTGGTACAAACGTGTAAACCTTTATTCGAACGAGTTCGCGAACCAGCACGATCGGACCATGGGAACGGGGGTTTATGGGGGCTTTTAAGGGGTAAAAATGGGGTTTTCCCATTTTTGACCCAAAAAAACATAACATTTTGCAATTTCTTTCCAAACAATTTTGTAGAGCTTAAAAAAAAATAATTTAGTATATTGAAGCGTTATAATGCACCTAATGGTTACGGAGAAAATTCCAAAAAATTTTAAATTTAAAATTCCCATGTTATTTTTATGGAGAACAAGTAAACTGTTGTAGTTTGCTTGTTTATGAACATATTTTGATCAAATTTGGGTTTTTATTTCTTACTAACTATTAACATTTTACAAAAACAAAACAACAAAAAACAGTTTTACCCTCCCTAATGCAGCAAACCTAAGTACTTGTTAAACTGATATCCAATCAGCCAAATGGAAATTCGTTTAGTCTGCAGGTTTGCTGCGGCGGGGGTATTTAAATTTTCACGACTTGTTGCGATTTACTTTTTGGTTATAAAACAAGAGTGCAGGCTACTGTTTTGTTTATAATAAATAGTTTGATTTGGTACTTTTGAAACGGTTTAAACACTAAACCAAACAAAACTACTTTTGGACGGATCGAGCTAACCTGAAAGCTACGGATTATTATCCCTCTGGAGAGCAACGAAGCGAATGAGCTCTTAAAGGCGGCGACACACTATCGATCTTTTCCCCGATCAAGACCCCGAACCGAGCAGGGAGAAGGGAGGTAAAAATCTCCAAATTTTCAATCCGAACATTTCTCCGAACAAGACCAAGACCAGACAAGTTCTACCGAGCGCGGCAAAGGGAGTTTAGAGAGAGATGGAGAGCGTGTGTGAGTGAGAGCGCAGAGGCAGTAATAATAAAACAGTAATAAAACATGAAATAACATGTTACAGAATAATAATTTTGATTGCCTTTAATAATATTTATAGGCTATTAATTTTGAAAGAATTATAGTATAACATCAATTACTTAATTCAAGTTAAACATCATTGGTATCATTGATTTAACGGTTTCAACTTGTAAAATACATTTTCAACCTTGACCAAACGAACAACCAAATTACAACATAAATGCCTATAATATATAACGGCAAAATATTACCCAATATTTATTTATTTTAGCAATTAAATTAGAATTATCAACGCTAGCGCAGGCGGCCGCTCGGTGCGGCGCTCGCGACGATGTACGAGGCAAAAAATATACCGTGACACACTATCGTACATCACTCCGTACATCGGACCGATCTTTTCTTTGATGTTTCGCCCAAAAACCGCCTCCAAAGCGCTCGTCTCCCTGCTCGGCCTGATGTCTGGTTCGCCGTCTGGATCGGGGTACGGACCCGTGACACACTATCGAACATAGAAGAGGTCGAACCCTTCGACCTCCCTTCTCCCTTCTCCCTGCTCGGTTCGGGGTCTTGTTCGGGGAAAAGATCGATAGTGCGTCTTAAGAGTCTTCCTTAGTGGAAGCCATGTTGGATTTCTTCCCCATAAGAACAATGTTAACTTTGGGTCCAAATATCTCATCAGCAAATTGTCATATAATTATGGATAAGGAGTTAAATTTAAGGAATTGCGGTCCTCTAGAGATTGACGTTTTTTATTTCACAATTTTTAATTTTTATAATGAATAATTGATTATTAATTAGCTTAAAATTAAGCTAATTATTGAAAGGAAATGAAAATGGATTTTCGAAATTCAAAAACCTCAGTCACGAGTCTATTATGTTAAAAATACAAATTATAAATTTCAAAGCTATATCTTAACAAATAACGCCGTTACGTGTCCACAAATGATGTAATGTTTAACATTGTTCTTATGGGGAAGAAATCCAACATGGCTTCCACTAAGGAAGACTCTTAATGATTCGAATTGAATGAGTGTATAGAAATTGCCACATTTGCGGAAGATACTGCAATTTCCTCTGTCCTATAAAATCCTATCCTAGAAAATAATATAATATAAGTTGCAATACAGTACTGATTGTTTACTGGAGACAAGGTTTATCTGTATATTCAAAAGGCCATGGTTTTATCTTGATTAGTGCTGCGATCTTCTAGACTCATTTGGAACTGCACAGTCTTGATTTCCCTTCTCCCTCCCTTCGTCCCTTCCGGTCGCGATGGGGGGAGGACTCGTAGTAGGACGATGACGTCATTAATTAGTTCAAATTTGCTCCACAAGCGGCGCGCCAGACGGACCCGGGATGAAGATGATGACGTCACCGTTTCTCGCGACTCGCGAGCGGAGAGAGCGGCCGAGGCGTAATCAAATTCGTCTGCTACTTGATTTGTCAACTGTTGAGTTAGGTTAAGAAGCATTAATTTACTTGCAATAAGGATTTTTGTAATAATTAGGCCTACAGTTTGATTAATTAAGTTAAGTGGATGTTAGAACGTCAGTTTAACTCTTGAGAGTAATTAAGTGAACATAATTTATCGATGTAAATTAATTTAATAAGTTAAGTTAGCTCTTAAACTCAAGTAAGTTAGGCCTTAAAACTATTTTAACTGTGGGTGTGGGACATTTACATTAGTGAAGATATGACACTGTGACAAAACACCCTTAAATTTTAAATGATGTATGCATAACTTAGGGCCTAACGATTTCATTTCAATAACATCCAGTCAGTAACTTTAGTTGGTTACACTTAGAGCTATCCCAATTAATTTTGATAACTACTTGGCTGTAACCAGTAAAATAAAAAAACTAGGTTAACATTAAAAAACAAGCTCGAAGCCTTTGAATTAAGGCTATCTAACTTAGGCCTAGCTTAATCATTTGAGTTGTTAACAAATCAGTCGATAGATAAATCTAAAAACCTTGCCTACTTGGTCAGAATTGATCTGAAACTAAGATGCCAGATATAGTCTGTGGAAATACTGTAAGTTAGCATCTAATGTTCTAATAAAAAGCAAGCCTCGACTTGAAAACTAGGTTTGCTTTTATAGCAGTGAAAACCAGTTGAGCGTAGCAATCATGTTTCATGGTTTTTAATGAAACAATAAATATAAAAAAATGTTTATGGATATAATACAAAATACAAATGTTCCCACACACTGCACTGCTAGCCTTTACTACTTCCTTCAGCTCTTCCTACGTCGTGGACCTGTTTCCCTTCCTTCCCATGGCATTTTAGGATAGCCGATTCATTAATCTTAATGCCACAAACGGTTCCCACACTCAGCACCTTTACTACTTCCTTCACCACTTCCTACGTCGTGGACCTTCTCCCTCCCTTCCATGACCTTAATGTAACTGCCACAAACGGTTCCCACTCTGCACTGCTAGCCTTCACTACTTCCTTTTCCCCTTCCTACCTCGTGGACCTAATTCCCTCTTCCCTCCCTTCCCATAGCATTTTAGGATTGCCGATACATTAGTCTAACCAGGGCAGCGTTAAGGGTCAGTGAAATTCTGGTCAAACCCAAAAGCAGCGCCCCCTTTTTTCCTAGTGCGGGCGGGCGGTGGTTGGGGGGCACTCCTAAACCTCCGGTGCCCCTGGGCATATGCGCAGTCTGCCCGTTTATAAAAGTGGGCCTGAATCTAACTGACACAAAGGGTTCCCACACTCTGCACTACAATAGGTTGGTGTGTTGCTACAGAAAATAAAATGTTTTTTATTTAAATCTTGAACGCTTAATATGAAATAAACAAATTTGTCAAAACAAAAAAGTAAATCGGTTGGTGGTCTAGGTCTTATCAAGAGACCTGCGGTAACAGCTTATTCCCCATTTGGAAAATTCACTAAAATTAGGTGTAATGGCGGAGGCCGTATTAAATAAAAATAAGTAGTTTTTTAAACGATAAATACTTACCTTATACCATTGTCTATTGGATAATAGTCAAAGCTTATACCTAAATAGTTGGTAGTTGTCCGGGGGACAGTCTTCCGGTGACCCACTCCCCATAGTGAATAATCTTAGGCTTCGCCATAGGTGATAGAGATCGGGTACTTCTCACTGATGTACTTCTACCAGTGATAATTGATATTATATAACAACCGCTTTAAATGTTAAGATGACCTATTAAAATGTTTATCAATTGGATTCCTGCTATTTTGCCAGATTCTTCTCAAAATATATCCATAAGCATTAAGCAATCAAACTACGTAAAACAGTTTAGGCTACTTACAGTATCCTCCAAAAGATTAAAAAGGAAATTTTGAATTTTCTTTTTCTCCGTTACCAATAATTGTACAAACACTTTAATGTACTAAATTATTTTTATATTTTTAAGCTATTCAAAATGGTTTAGAGAAGAATTGGGAATTTTTATGTTTTGAGGGTCAAAAATTAGAAAAACCCCATAACACCCTGTTCCCATAGTCTGATCGTGCTGGTTCGGGAACTCATTCAAGTTTATCCTGCCCTACACCTTCAAGCCAAATTTCATCAAAACCAGACAAAATGACTTGAGTTATCACGTTCACGGACACATATATAGTTGTTATATATATATAACAATTTGAATGAATAGTTTTTTTGGCCTCTAAGGACATCAAAATGAAAAAGTATATCAGTCCCGGGTCTAGGTCTGATCGTGCCACCTACAGTGATAGTTAATTCTCTTAATACATTCGATATGCTTGATAGGGTCACATAAATATATCTTAAGACTAATATTTTCTCACTACTTAAACCAAAAATAGCAATATAGGCCTACCTTGGACAAATTGTAAATATTAATCAATTGAAACAAAAGAGTTGTTGAAATATAGTTTTATTTATAAAACACACATATTTATTTTCCAAAGCTAGCTTTTAAAATTTAGGTGTTAATTTTGTAAAGTAAAAGAATAAATTGTTAAATTAAAAATAACTATTCTTGGTCTTTGTTTCCAAGTGTTGGGTGTTGCTTGGCTCCAGAACCAGGAATATTGTCCCATTTGTTCCTAAAAAAAATTGAAAAACTATAGTACAATATGGCAATGTACATTGTTGTAACAATATTTTTGGTCTGTAGACTGGCATAGATTTAAAACATTGACAAATTGATCGGCTGTTGGCAAAATATTTTTCCTACAGTTACCTAACAATGTGCATGTTCTCTCACTGATTTTAGAAAGCAAAGTGGCCAATTCGCTCATCAGTGAGACAATGTTAACATTGTCTCACTCTAATTACTTTGTCTCAATCACTTCAGATTTGCAACGTGAAGGCACGAAATAGTGAGCGTGTAACATGCAGACAAGGTCGTATGCGCGCAATATACGTTGGCAGCACTGGCTGTAAATCAGCTGGTCAGCTGTTGTATCATTAAATGTAATATTAAAAGTTCACTTCTGTGTAAAAATATGTCACGTTTCTTTACCATTTATTTGTTTTATGGTAACTGTAGAAAAAATATAATGTACAACTCGAGTGCAAAGTGCAATTGCCTCACTCGAGAAACCATTCCACACTCGCCTACGGCTCGTGAGTAAGTATTTCTCTCGAGTGAGTCAATTGCTCCCTTTTCTCACTAGTTGCACAAATAACTATATTAGAGAGGAAGAAACAGAATAGACACATCTCTTCTGACTGCAACACTTGAAATAATTTTCACTCTGTAAAAAACATTCATCGTCAATTTTTTATGTTCTGGAACTTAAGTGTTATATTTTTCACTATGCCAAGTCATAAACTGTACCTATACAGTAGAACCTCGCTAATTCGAAAACCTATATAATTAGAAATGTTTGTCTGTTCCCCTCACAAAGCCTCTAAAATTAAAAAAAAATACCTACCGAAAAATAACTACCGATAGTACAAAGTAGTACAAAGTAGTTTTAAGCTTAATACAGCCTCTACAATTTGAATTTTGTTGCCATAATTAAAACTGTTACTTCCAAAATTCGAAGTCAACCTCTACAATTCGAACTGCATTACCGTAAGACAAAAAATATCTTTGTTGAAACATGAACTGACAATCCGTCCCCCAAGATGTGTTCATTAGTCTCCATTCTCTCAAACTCCACACTTAAAACTGGGACCTCCACAATTCAAATTTTATTTTTCTGACCTCTATAAATCAAACTCTTTACATTTTAAACTTCCCATAGTTCGAAATATATTTTCTTTCCTCTGAAATTCGAATAAGCTAAGTTCTACTGTACTAAGCCTGGTTTACACGGGTAGAGTTGTTGGTAGTGTAGAGTTTATAGTAGAGCTACTTTCTTGTCCACTCTACCGATTTTAAGCAAGCGACTGTTCACACATAGTAGGGTGTTGATGATAGTTTGTGAACTGTTTGTTCCACCTCCATTCCCAAAATGAGTGTTATAAACCAGTTACAAGACAGTGTCACTCTACCAGAAACTCTACTCTACTGCCGCGGATCTCATTTACACAAGTATAGTGTGCAGGAGAGTGACAATTTTGCTAGTGGTGGGGGAAGTAGAGTAGAGCTACTATGCCACATGTTGCTAGTAACTCTACTCTACCACCTACTATCTACTATACTAGCTACTAGGCGCTAGTGGGTGTTTACACGGGTAGAGTTACTATACTAGAAACTCTACTCTACCCACAACTCTACCCGTGTAAACCAGGCTTAAGCCTACTCACTTACCACTACTAAGACTTACCTTGTATTTGGCTCAGACCTCTTGATTTGGCTTGTCCGAGCCAGTCTTTGATTAACTGCCTCTAACTCAGGGTCTGTCGCTTTAGCCGAAGATGCATGAGTCTAAACATAAAAATAACACAAATTTGTTAGTGATGGGTTGAATTATGATTAAGATCATAAAATAAAAAATAAATCTAAAAAAGTTGTTGGCATTAACAAATTTAGGTAAACATTTACTTTGATCCTCTATAGTCTATAGGCAGCCTACATATTTTTGAATGTGATGAGTGACTACCTGAAGAAACATTAAGAGGATAGCTTTGCAATAGCCTACAATTTTATTAAAATGGTAAATTAAATCTTCTCTAGCTGGAATAAACATGATTTAATTTTTCCCAAATACATGTTGGTACATAAAACTATAGGAAAGCCTCGACTGTCAGATGCTTCAGCAAAAATTGATAGCGGCTCTGACCATTGCAGTGATCTCGTATTTGATTGGCTAAGCCAAAAGGGATCCAGCAAGAGACTACCGTTGACTTATCACTATTGACATTAATGCACACATGGATATGATTACAAAATAATATATTAGGCCTAACTGTTCTTACCAAATAAGGTAATCTTGATTTAAAACAAAGATCAGAATTCAACACTCGTTTCTTCTTGAACCGTACTGATCAGATGTTACTTTTGATGCCTTGCATTTTGTTGAGCCACCTTCAAGGAATCTGTAACAAGACAATAATAACTTAGTGTAAGTTAAACATAAGTTATCGATTTTTTTTTGTCGAGGCATATAAATTTTAGGTAAAATGGTGGTCAAGTTCATCGGGTTAACATATATCATTTGTCTCAAAGAGGTGAAAGGTGAGTTAACTTAGTCTTAAAATTGATCAAGATAATGCTTTGACTTAATGTAACCAAACATGCATGTAGGCTAGCCATTTTTAATTCATTAACTAAGACATAGTTGGATGAGCCACTTCAGTAACTTTGTCGTTCTACAGCCAGTTTATACTGACACCCGCAGAGCTTCCTGGATCAAACTCGCTATCGGCTTAGTCATACAATTTATTCATCCTTCATCCATCCCTTGCGATCAAACTGTTTTATGCTAACTTACCGACAAGTGTTCGTGCCCTATATGTTACCTGAAACAATTTAAATGTGTATATACTTTGCGGAGCCTGCTCTTAATTTTAGGCCCTGGTAATTTATTTTATAAAAGAACATTTGACGAGCCACTTGCATTTCATAAAATCTGAACCACATCCGTCAGTTAGGCCTACGATTAAAACCTAAGTTGTAACTTAATAGGCCTAAGTAAGTATTTGCCTATCTTCAAGACAGTTTGTATAAAGCACTGTCTTTATTTCCCAAAATACAATACAAAGTTTTAACAATTTCGCTACTGTTAGAATCGGCTCCGCATTACAAGACAGCAAAAAGCAGGCAGCTCCAGCAATACCTTGTTTAGGTGATGAGACCTTCATGAGGCTGAAAGTTCTAAATAACTTACTGTTGTAATGCCTTCAAATGCCAATTCAAACTATGAACACTATGCCTAACTGATAAATAAGTAGCAAATAAAAAGTTAGTGTCAGTAACTTAGGCTAGTAACAGAAATCTTGCAATAATAATACTGTTGTAAGTAATGCCAATTCAAACTATGAACTATGCCTAACTGATAAATAAGTAGCAAATAACAAGTAAGTGTCAGTAGTAACAGAAATCTTGCAATAATAATAAAAATACTAAAATTCTCAACTGCAACTCTTGTCTTCTGCTGCACCGATCGATCAACATCAACAAAACATCAAGCCAAGCCTAAAAAAAAAGTAAAGTTGATGACGTCATAACGGTGTCGGCTGCCTGACTAGAGTGCTGCCCGTGGAACAAATTTGAACGAATTAATGACGTCATCGTCCTACTACGAGTCCTCCCCTCATTGCGACCGTCGTCCCTTCTCCCTTCTCATATGATTTTACAGAATGTTGGTTGTTGGCATTGTTGCCTGTTCCTGTTGGGAGAACAGCTGAACAGCAGCAAAAGCAAAGCGAAGAAGCGACATTATTCGTTTGTTTGTTGTCACACTTGTCGTTGTCAGCGCGCGTTGCAACTTTCGTTCGTTCATTGGTGGGTCATCCGATTTAGCGGTTTCGGTTTGTTGTTGAAGTTGAAGTAGTGTTGAAGTTGAAAGAGTACTTTTGTTTTTGTACACGGTCATTCTAAACTACTTTTGTGTTAAGTGTGTTCGTTGGTTTGGTGTAAAATCAAAGTTTACGTGTAATGCCTACCTAGGCTACCTAAAATTGGTTAGTTTGTTGTGCTCACAGTGTTAGTGTCAAAATTAAGTTAGTGGTTGTCTACGCTATGTTTTCTTAGTGTATTGGCCCTGTGTGGAAAGAAAAAGAATAGTGGATAATTGCACTTCCAGGAACTTTTTGGTAAGTGTCTACACATTTATATTTTATATTCTACCTCCATTTAGTGCATATAGCCTATTTAAACCATACCATGTTGGTTAATTTAATGAATGTTTTACTACCATCCTACCTACTTAACTTAGGCTAGGCCTAGGGGACCTACACTGTCCTTTTGTTTTAAGGTTTTCTGTTCTAAGTTAACAAAATTAACCTTATAGACCACCACCACTTTCTAGAACCTAGCCTAGTTGGCTATAGATCTCAGTAAAGCCCCTGTCACACGGAGCTGGTTTCAGCAGCTAGTTCTCGCTGCGAGAACCAGCAGCTTTAGTTGATAGTTCTCCAGCACGCTAGAAGTCTTGTCAGACGAAGCTGGAGAACTAGCGCTACAGATTACAAGTCTGGAGATGTAATTGCTGAGTGTGTAGTTAACAAAAATAATGTAGTCTGTTGCCATTAGAAGTGATGTTTTGTCTAAAATCAGCCATCATAGAAGTAAAATGTGCAAGGAAAAAATAGAATTGTAATATATAAACACTAATTAAAATCAAATATCTTGTGGTAGGCGTATAACAAAAGGACTTTAAGTTATCTTTCATCTACCGTACTCCAAAAAAAAATTCATTTAAGTTAGTTAATAATGTGAGATTTAGCAATCATAAAAACGAGAAAATTTTGGCAATGCGTGAATAAATTTATAAACATGAAAGCTTAAATTCATTTACGATTAGTTTAAATGAATTAAATTAGGCTACTGTAGGCCTAATTTAAATTCATTTTTCTTATTCCGAGAACTAGCACAATACTGTCAGACGGAGCTGGAATGGCGCTAGAGACCACAGCTGGGTGGTCACGTGACCTGCTAGTGACTCTTCAAGCGCTTGTAATATTAAACTGTTTATGTAAAACCTCCAGCGGCTAGAGATACCAGGCTCATGCGAGTGTTTCTAGCAGCTGGAGAATCAGTCACACGATGCTGGTTTTATGCTGGTTCTAGCTGCTAGTTACTAGCGGCTAGATACTAACTTAGGCCTCCCACACACTATCCAACATGTTGGTCGAGCATGTCGGGATCCAACGTCTTGTCGAACATGTTCAACAGTCTGTCATGGATATGTCAGGTCGGGTGCTCGGTCCGGTAGCACCACCCGACTCGAGCTGTCCGCCTCACATGTTGGAATGAGTGTGGGAAACCATCGAGCCGATCGCCCGACTAGCCACAGTCTCCATAGTTGTGACTTGTAATTGTATGAGTAGGCCTGGCCTACATATGAGTGAGTTGTGTTGTGAAGCTACTGCTCCAACATACTTGTAAGTTACTGTATAGAGGCCCACTTAGATTGGTATCTTGCCTTTCTATGTAGCCTATCTGGAAGCACAATCATTGTGGTGTTATCGCAAGAGGACCAAGTTTAGGTAGCATACTTTGCTATGGAACCCGTGGTTACAGCTTAACCCTAGCATGTCCGCATAGAGATATCTAGCTAAAACTATATATTCCTCAAACACGTATAAAAAGCTGACTTACTTAACGACTACGGTACCTACCGCAAAAGGAAAACTAATGTAAAAAAATAAATACGGGTTTCGTCCAATGAATTTCTAGACCAAAAAACTACCATTTGCTGTCTTAAGTTAATTGCGATGAAAACCATCTTCAAAGACCATGAGGTAAACTTGTGACGGTTTTAATTTGTTAACACTAAGTTTTTCACTATTGAGATTTTCTACATTTATAGAGTGAATAATATATAGGCCTACATTTTCACAGTTGCAATTGATTTTTTTTATGAGCTCCGAAAAAATTGCTTGTTTATTGATCAAGTCTAATAAAACTTGAATGGGGTGTCAATGACAACAAGGGTTCAATGACAAGATGAGCTTTAAATGTAGGCCATACATTAAAAAAAAGTTACGGTAATCAATGAACTGTGTTATTCTTTATTTGTCTTATTCTTTTCAGAAACAAAACATGCCCATCGTCAGTGGTGTTTAACTTATCAAGATGAGAGAGGAAGACCTGGAAATTGCCATCAAGGTAAACCTAAGCACATGCATGATTTATTTCTACATACGTAGCCTACTGTTATGCTGTATTGCCATCAAGACTTAGATTCCTCCCTCTAAGTTAGCTGTTTTCTACGAAGGTACTTGGGCCCGTGCAGGAATTTTGTCAGGAGAAGAGCAAACTGATCTGGGCCTAGCCTATCTAATATTGTTGTACCGGTAGCCTAACTTTTTGAGATGAGAATAACTGTTGTCAACACAGTCAAATGCCTCAAAAGGTTGTTTGAGCATTTAAGCTACATTTCCAAAGAAGATACGACCTCGTTATTTTCACCGTCTCCAAACTTTCTCCACCCCTTAAACGAACATTTATATCCACCCTTTATAATTAAGGGTGCGCTCTACCTGTCTGGGGCGCGCGAATGCAAAGGGTTTAGTTCTTACTGATTATAGCCCCAATTGTGAACCGATTTAAAAGATCTTGGTGTCTTATTTTTCGTTAAATATTATTGTAGTTTTGCCGTTTTTTTTAATTTTGATAATTTTAAAAATGTTGGGCTCAAAGGTTGGTAAAAATGGCTACGGGTTTTTTTACCATAAGTTTTAACGCATACAAAAAATACTTTGTAGAGAGAAAAAAAACAGGAAAAGTGAAATAGATTCTTAAAAACAAGAACCTGCAGTTAGTTTACTAAAAAGTTGAAGGATAACTATGTAATCACGCAGACTCGAAAGGCTTACAAGCGCTCTTCATGGCGTTGTTCAATGCAATGGTATAGGGACATCGGCGTTCGACAACTTCGTATTGAGAAATCCGAGCTGAGGTAGAGCGCACCTTTAACTTAAATTGGTAGTGGTAGACAAGACTGAGACAAATAAAATCTAATTAGGCCTAACTTATAGACGCAAATGATCGTTGGCGTGAGTTATATATTTTCTTTCATTTTTGAATAGGTACTATGACAAGACTAATTGTTCTATGGGGGATGGGGTAAAAATATTTGAATGGTAGTAGATAAAGTACGGTAAATGCCGCAGCAAACCTGCATACTAAGCAAATTTCCATTTGCCTGATCATATCTATATACCGTAATTAATACGCTACATGAAACTTTGTCGGTTGAACTCCTCCGCCATTTCTTAACCGATTTTATCCATTGGCGTCTCATTGGAAAGAGCGTGTCGCGTAGATTTGCAAACTGGCCTTACATTTTTGAAAAAGTCCCTTGGACTCTGCCCCATTGGCTTTGAAAGTTCCCATGTTATCCTTATGGAGAACACAATTGTTTACATTTTGATCAGCTGTATAATTTAATTGATGTTATTTATTTTTCAATTCAATGAAACGCATTGAGTACATTTATTTACTACAGTATTTGAGTTTGTGTAAACATAACCCCCAAGACGGATCGTGTTAGTATGGTTGTATCTCAAATTTGTGCATTTATCGTTGTTTTGTGTAGCTATAATGTGTTTAGTTGTTGTTTTTTTCTTTTAAATGCCTACGACGTGACGACAACGAAACATAGACAGGAGGCGTAATCGTGATAACGACCGTAGCTACAGAACAGTGGCGCGTAATAGGCTTAACTCATCACAGTCAGCACCTGACCCTGGACAATCTCAACTATTATGTTATAAATGCGCCCTAACACTACCCCAAAACGACTTTTTGTTCTCAATTGGCCCTCTATCAATGACCTGTGTTGCCTGTACAGCGAGGCATTTTGAGAAGGAGAAAACAGGCCGGAATGCTTTAGGTTTATCAATAACGAAGATAAACATGGTCTGTGTTACACACCGACCGGTAATGTTTGAGTTGACTCTTTTGAACTCATTGTAAATATGACTGTTATTCGTTTTGAAATAACTCCTGTAATACTTTGCAATTGCTCGAATTCGAGCAACGTGTACACTAGTTTTTCCTTAAATCCACTGTATTTAACCTTCTAGGTTTATTAATTAGTAGGCCAGCTGGGTTTGTTCCTACAGAGAGGACAATAAGTTGTGTTTTCTAGTTAAATATTAATAGTTCAGTATAAAATAAATAACTGCCAATTTTGATCAAAGTATATCCATAAATAACCAAACTACAACAGTTTACTTAGGTACTTGCT